CTGTAATTGCCTCCTTTTTGCGCTGTTATTGCGCGCTCTCCAACTTTTTCATTCTGTCAAGAAGACCAAGCATGGCCGCTGCGTGTCAGTCTCGAAATGCACACTAATACGCAGCTTTGGCCATCATCTTGTGACATCCTGCCACACTCCCTATGCTCTGCCTGCAGCAATCGGACCAAGGATGTGGAAAGAGTGGTGAGGATGCGCACGCACCGCAAGCGGACTCTGCAGAGGTTGGCCTTTCACCTTTGCCCAGGTGCTTTGGTAGCACTTGGCAGGTTTCATGAACCAAGGGTACGTCAAGTCTTTAAGGCGTTGAATCAAGCAGCTCATTCGATTTTGTATTGTTGCTTCGAGTGAATGTTGTCGCCAGGTGTTGAAGCATCTGTCTCTGTGTTTGTCACCATGCTCGAAGCCAAAGTGCCACCGCCCGTCTACTTGCTGAACGAAGCTTGGCCTATATTCCCGGGTTCCAGTCCTACTTTAAGGTGTCTAGACATCATAAAATTTTGGGCGAGTGAACATATCATTTTCACCCACCGGTGATACATCCTAGTCTTTTGCTGTTGCACGTCATCCGCACCCGCTTGCAGTCCAGGAGAACAACAAGCCGCTGAAGGCAGAATCAAAGCAGATTTGTGAGCAGACTGGTGCACTGCTGCACCCGGTGGATGATATCGCCACGTATGTGGAGGCCGGGGGTGTGGGACATGAACAATTCAATTTTTTTAGACAAACGACTAGTCAAACGACTAGTGCTGTCCTTAAAGCCATGGAGCTACGGTATGTCAAGGTGCTCTATCCCGAGCATGTAGACACAGCATGCGCACCTATGCCGATTAGTAGCAATTTCAACGTGTCGTTGCCCCGCAGTGCTCGGTGTTGTGGTCGCAAAGCGTCGGAAACAATCGGAATCTCTTCCCATAAATTTCACGATGTAGTTTGATAATCTTTCGAGGTGAGCATGCCCAGGGCGCCGGTTGACGATGGTGCACATATGTCCTGTTGATCTGCCATGAGGCATCATGCATTTTGTGGCGAAATGAATATACGACGAGATCAAGGACTACGGCTGGCTGCTCCAGCCATCTGATACATCTCAACAGAATGGCCGGCACATCTGCATCGTAAACGCCCGGACGTTTTTCCCCAAAGCAAGGACATCATTCTCACTCCGCTAAAGCAGTCTCGGACCCGTTTGACATGCAGAGGAGGTCAAAGGCTGTTGAAAAGTTGAAGACATGCGGGTGTCACGAGACCTAGCTATCGGCTTTATCAGGGTCGATAGCTTAGTGAGCATTGAGGTCATGTGACCGAGCTGTCAGCCCTGTTGCACGGCAGGTTGCGGGCCATCGGATCTTTGTGACTAGAGCGGAGACGCAGGAGCTCCTCTGCGTACCTGTGGACTTGAGCCATTCGCCGAATGGTGGAGAATGGGTGCAGTTGCATTTGCTAGCCGAGTTTCCTGCATGCGAGGAGGCGAAGCACTTCGGCGATCCCTCGCTTCGGGTGCTCGGTTTCAAGCCACTTGCCAGTTTCAGTCTCTCGACGTGTACAGGGATGTTTTTTCAACACATGACGAATCCAAGGCCCCTCAGCTCCTTGCAGGATCATCACCGCATGTTCCATGCCTACTTCGTCTACCCAAACGAGCGAGGCAAGGAGCTCCGATGACTTGCTCCGACTGTCTTCCGATGGCCCTTTTGTGGCGCCTGCCGCTACGTGAGGAATGTGACCCCTCTAGTAACGACGTGACCTGAGCCTCCCTTGAATCGGAAGGCTTCACAGGCTCAGCCGCGCTGCTGTCGTCGCTGGTCAGTGCCTGGCATCAACGTGGCGTGTGGAGGGATCCCAAGGGCACAAAGTGGAGTCTCTGATCCTGGGGCCAAGCTGTTGCAGCTCCCGAGCCGCCTTCATTTCTGAGTGTACTCCTTCCCCTCTCTCACCCCACAGAGATGAGCAGGCTACCTGAAGCAATGATCCTAGCTTATGTTGTTGGTGTTGCAGTTGCAGTGAGACCTGTTGATCGCCACTCCACACTTTAAGCCTTTAAAGCCGTTGAGGCGTCATGCTGGAGCGAAAGGTTCTGGCCTTGGCAAGCTACGTTGCACGGCGCAACAGCGAGCCAGTTCTGGTTGCCCTCCTGCCGCAGGCCCGGTCGTTGTACCTTTGGTGAAGAGATGATAAAGACGTGCATGTGATTCTGGTCTGATTTCTCCTTGTTCGCAAGAAAGCAGTTTTGCAAACAGACGTCCCGACGCTGGCACGCTGAAAAGGCCGAGGTCGAGGAGGAGGGCGACCAGAGGCAGCCCCCGGGCTTCCACATGGTGCGCCTCCCCTGGGCCGAGGACGGTGTCAGGGATACGGCTTGCGTGTCAAAAGGATCCCAGGGCTTTCATGCCTCAAAGGTGAAGGCGACCTCACCTCCAAAGGCCCCTCTCGGCTCCTGAGTTTGTTGCTTCCTCCCTTTTTTTGAAATCCGTAAAGTGCCATGACCCGATGAGAGACCCGATGCTTGGTGGCATTGACAACGACGGCAACAAGAAGACGAATGTCAACAATCATCATGTAACGCCCAGGCAATCTCTAGAGCACGAAATCGATAAAGTCTCAGCATGTGCCGACGCGCAGGAGATAAGGCAGCTGAGTTTCTTGGGCGCATGTCAGAACGGTCAAAGTTCCTGTCAAGTTGGGGTGTAGTATGTAGACTCTAGACATGCGATCTGCATGCAAAACAACCACCGGTCCATGTCAAGAACATGGTCTCCTTAATGTGATAGGGAAGGTACGGTCCCCGCCATGCATTGCTGGTATATCAGCCGATTACAGTCAAGGCTTGCAGTGTCTGCAGTATAATATAGGCAAGCCTTTAGCCGCTGAGGTTAGCCAGCTCCTAGCAAACATATTCCGCTGGTTTCAGACGCAGTCTTGCATCACTCTCGTCGCCACCGCTGAACCCTTCAGTATGAAAAGACTTCGTACTGTCACACCTTCCCTGTGTGGCTGCATAGGAAGCTCACGTGTTTCGGGTTTCCACATATGTCTACACAGCAAACAGTGAAATGATAATGCTGACAACTTTTTCCAGGGGACAGAACGTCCGTCTGCTTGCGAGAACGTGCCGACAACTCAATGGAAAGCATCATCATCGTCATCACCATCATCGCCGGCGTCATCATCAGGGTCATCGTGATGATCATCTTTATCACCACACTCAGGCCCACCGGGTAACTATGATCTGTTCGAACGTGGTTCCCAAGCCAGAGCTTCTTCCAGCTGCAGGTTTCCCTTTGGCAGACGGCTTCCCAGCCGTGATGCCCGAGAACCTCAAGG